GAACTCACGTTGACGTGAGCAGCGTTGTTTGTACTATTATCGTCAATGACAAATTGGCCAATAAGACTGCAACATTTCTGCCTATTGTGTTAAAGGTTGATTAATTAACCAATACCTTTTTCACAACTCTTCCCCGTCCAGCCTTCGATGCATTTACATGTTCCATTGACACATCTCCCCTTGCCTGAGCATTGGTCTGGACAGTCTTGGATAAAATGAGAAATTTCCGAATGGATTATTTAAAAGAAATTAAAATATTAACCACAAAAAAGCAGATCTCGTGAACATGGTGAAGCGAGCAAGTTAGTGCTTCGGCCTTCTCATTTCTTTTCGAAAATGTTGTTTTGCGAACTTTAACACTTTCAGGCTCTCTTGCTTAATTCAACTGTCTATCAGTGATGATATCTTTAAAAGTTAACACTTATTTTTTTACCTAATATTTGTATTTTCGTGTGATAAGGGGTACCATTTTAATGAAAATTAAAAAAAAAAAAACAATTGTCATTCACACTCTAAAGACATACGACTGCGGCCCTTAACGTTTCATTACAATGGAAATAATACTAAAGTTATAGAAGCTTACCTTGCTTGAAGGTTTCCTGATCAGTGAATGTCGTGTCATTGGTCATGGCGACATCGAATATGCAGCTTTTCAAATTGCTGTCAGAAATGTTCAAGGATTTGCACATGCTTGTTGCAATCTAAATTGAAAGACAGGTGGGTAATGTCAAGATGGAGTGATACCAAATTCTACCTTAGACTAAAGATAATACTTTACCCGGAGGACCTCTTCCAAACTCAGATTGAAGAGTTGCAATAGGTGCTACATTCAATCAAATGAGGAAAAAACTAGCAAAGAAAAAGAATGTATGTTTCCCATCACATCTGGATTAAAATGAGACTGTTGGGTGAAAAGAGATAATATCTGACGAGATTGATCTAGGACCTGTTTTTGTCTCAGCTATTAATTATTTCCAATTTATTTATGGAAATCGGAACGAGTTGAGTTCAAATCAGTCTGTGATCATTTCAGGGAAAATGAGCGATTGAAGCCTTTTTTTCCCAATAGTAGCTAATTTTACTGCCATAATATGTAAACTGTCCCCTCACACTCTCCAAGTGCAAGCAGGCAATGTAACAGGGATGATCAACGAACGCTTTTCATTCCACTAATTTATTCTTGTTTTTCTCGTTGCCATGTTCCCACCAGTAACGTAGCTCCATTCTCTGCCTTTAAAAGTAAACACAACCCACAATTTCTCTATTCGCTCCGACGAAGGGCTAACGCTCGAAACGTCAGCTTTTGTAATTGTTACGGTGGCCAATTTACCACTTCAACTTTGTTGATATATCCAAGTTATAATGTAACAATACACTGTCCACACTAATATAGTTTTTTTTTTAGTGCACAAAACTTTGATAACCTGTAACACAGGTTGAGAAATTCCGTCCAGCGAATACACAGGGACGTATGATTGATCGGTGTACGTTATGTCCATTGTGTCATCCTGATAAAAGTTTGATGAGTGCCAGGACCAAGAGTCGCGTATGCCTGAACCGTTGTGACAATCCGTGATCCTCCCTTTAAAATGAAAGAAACAAACTAATCATACATAGGTAAATACAGCTCGACGATATGAACATTTCCGTTTTTATCAAGCTATCGCCTTCTGTCAGCTGAAGACTAACCCATTTATTCCCAAGTTTTCAAATTTGTTATCCTTTGCCATCTTATTTTTATCTATCCTTACTTCTTTTAAAAGCTTTGAAGTCTATGTACACCAGCAAATAAATATGACGCATCTCAGCAGTGAGAGCCATTTGATTGGTCAATTTCGCGACTGAATTCTGCTGCTTATTTTGTTGCTGAAATCTTAATTTGAAGTTTCGTTCTATTTTAAGGCCGTTCCATTTTATGAGACGATAAAATTTTGATAAAAACCCCTAACGTAACTTCAAAGTCCAACATTGCTGTAACCTTTGCTTACATGATTCGGCAAATTTAATTGCGTTATCGTAAAGAGTTCCATCAGGTCCTGTAAAGTCGTTAGTGGCATTGTTATCCATGAAGCCACAGAGTCCCTCAGTATGCCCTTTGTATGCAGCAGTTGGGGAATAGAGAATATTCAAATACTGTCTCTTCATCACCCGACTATGACGGACGTCGATGGTTACTGTTACACCTGAGAGAAGTAGAAAAGTTATACGCCAGACACAATGAAAAGTAGAAGGGCTGGGGTGTCGTGGTTACGAGAGCTTTTTTCCAACTTCCTCTTTGGCCTAGGTTTGACTTCCAAGCCCTGAGTCGAAGACAACCGACCTTTTCGCCGAGGTGTCGTTTCGGCATTGACCATTTTGTCTTGATTCGGTTTTCTTAAGTTTAGGGCTACTTCGTCAGCGTCTTATTGGTCGATTCGCTGACTTTTCAGTTTGTAGATCTCATAGAAGTAAGACTTTTGAAACGATTAAACCATCTAGGGGCTTCTAGGATTTTTCTCCGGGTTAGATTTACTGCACTCTTTCCTTCCCAAAAAACAAAGTTAGAAAACAAAACAAAGAAACACACAAAAACAAGAAAATATTGCATAAAACCATTTATTTGGGTGAATACGCGGAGGAATGCAAGAGATCTTTGGGAGTAACTATAAGCACTGTTTGATAAAAGAAAAAAAACTCCGGCTCGCTATTATTCATACCTTTATGAATGAGCTGAAGGAAATATGTTTTTATCATTTAAGAACTTGCCTTCATCATATTGAAGTGAAATTAAAATGACGCTGTTCCCTTCAGCCTCGGAAGAAAAACGTCTTTGACGATCCAGTAGCACTGTACCATTACTTATTTCAATAGGTTCTGAAGAATTACTAGTGTCATTTATTTCCATTCCATCAATTCTGAGGAGACGAAATGGTCGATTACCACCACCCATTAAGTAAGACATGTGTGTTTTCTTCCGGCCACGATATCGGGGAGTTTTATTTGTACAAATAACTGACATTAAATTGATTTTAAAATTATTAAAGATATACATTTCGCTCTTCAGCTACCTCGGTCTAACAAATAAGTAGTCTCGGCGTTTAGTTTCGACAAATATCATTCGGTAAGAAATTAGAAATAAAAAGCTAAGTCGTAAATCTATTCGAGGTGATAACCTTTTTACAGGTGTGGTTACGTTGTTAAAACACTGGGCATCAAATAATTCCAATTAAACCACCACGAATTAGGGAAACGCGTGACGTAACAACTTAAGATATATTGATTAACCTTAAATATTAATCAGAGTTCACCCAATCTAGAAGTAAGGTTTAACGGCTTAAGGCCCTCTGGCCAAGAGTTCAGACCTGGGTCTTGATTCTTTTATTTTCTAAATAGCACAATGAGGGAATTTCTTATTGCAATATCAAAACATCATTCAGCAGAAAGGTGAGGCGAACAAAGTAGTATATTGCTTGCCGAATTGAGCTTCAAATTCTCGCAGCAAAACTTAAACCAAGTTCACAGCAGGAGGTGTGGAAAACTATTATCAGATTTTAGGAGTGAAATAGTAGAGAGACGTAAAAAGTGTCAAAGTATAAAACATACCTTGTAATGGGCAAGTCTTGAATTCTTTCAGTCTTGATCGTCATAATCGTTACAACGCTTCTCCCAGCTTTGAGTGCAATTCCGCCGATTAGCGACGCTCGCTCGTAATAGTAAAAACGAAATTGAAGACCAAAATCGTTTTTTACACTTTTACAACCCCAAAACTCTCCAATACCGAAAAAGTCAAAATTTACACCTGTGGAAGGAGAAGAGGGAAAACATAAAGATACAACACACAGTCATAAGTGCTACCCATGGATCATCTTGGGGTCCAATTTTTTTCCAAATATTCTGAGATATTTTTAGGCAATTATGCACACGTATCGTTCATGATAACTGCAAGCGAATCCAGAAATAACTACCCATACGATGAACAAGAACACGACAGAAATAGAATGTTTTCAAAGCTAGAAATAGGTTTGAAGTAGGAGACGTTAATTTCCTACGCACGAGATCACTGTGTGGTTGATGTCCTCCCCTGGGGTGGGATGGGTAGTGTGTTGGCCCTGAAAGGCCCTTATGGGGAGAGGTCATATAACCTGCAGGGTTGGGGGTAGGAGACGTTAATTTCCTACGCACGAGATCACTGTGTGATGGATGTCCTCCACTGGAGTGGGATGGTGGGTACAAAGGGGTTAGGTGCCAATTGGGACGAAAGTCGTGTTCCTTTCTCCTGCCATTCCCGTGGCGAATGAATTAAATTCAAATTTTAAAAATCCGATGTTGCATTGGTTTTATTTTACTCCGCTCTGTGATTGGTCCAGAACACTCACACCATTTTCTCAACCAATCAGATGCAAAACGAAAACTAAGCACGACTTGGTCGCCCGCGTTTTCCCGCCTTAGGCAGTTTGGTTGTTTTACTTTTATTTCTCATTGGTTGCTTTTATTTCTCATTGGTTTTCTCATTGGTCTTACGACACTCAATCGGAAACGCTCTACAACTCTTGGAGGGAGATACGTTGTTGTTAAATGACGCAAAAACAACAAACATAAAACGTTTCAAAGGTTTGCTTTATTGTCACCAGAATGCGACCGATTTATTTTATTTTCTCCTAGCATGAAGGTCATTAAAATTCGCACGAGTTCGTACTAAAGAAAATGCCAAAGAAACAGGAGAGAGATATTTCTATTTACAAAGTAATTTACGTTTACGATTTCCTTCAAGACATCCAAGCCCATCTAGCCCCCCAGGTCTCTCGTTCTCCATTCAGGCAATAAAACATTTAATCTTCTTTTTTTTTATATTATGGCTTCTCGACAAAATAAAATATATCAAATATTATTAATAATTGTAATAGTAATTTGCCCAGTCAAGCTCTGTCAAGACATTCACGCTGATCCGAAAAGAAGAAAAGAGTGAAAATTTAAGTTGACAGTAAGTTTCCCTTGACGAAAACATTTTCGAATTTACCTCCTGAGAGTCATTTCACATCAAGCTAGTGCTTAGAGTGTTTTTTGTGGTCTTGGAGCAGATTTTCCTTCATTGTCAGATGCTCATCTACAACCTGATTGGTCAAAAACCACTCCCAACATCAAGTCAACCAACCATATGTATAACCAAAACTCAATCACGAATTGTACATGCGGGTTTTCCACACATGGTGTAGATTACATGAGTTCTGATTGGTTGATTGCCTTTTCTAAATTTACTGTGACTGGCTAGGTCGACAATCGACTTAAAAACAGTCTGTTGGTAACCAGAGGATTTTTTACACCACTGTTTTGTTTTGATCTAAACAAAGAACCGCTCACTGTTTACTAATTTTTTTTTCTTTTTGGCCATGTGATGACTTGTGAACAGAACAAAAGATGTTCGCAATGAACCATAGATATATCTTCACTTTGTGCAAGCTTTAAAATCTGTTCTTAAAAATAACCACAGAAGTTTGAAAAGATGATCTGTCTTGGCTCAATAGGAGTGTTCAATCTGTACATATAGTTGTTTCACTCCAAGCTGTGGACAGAAAAAATTTGAAAGTTATATCAATGATATATCAGCCCCCAAAAGTGACAACAATCTAATTTCTCTTAACAGTACCAGTCTTAAATCAACCATTAAGGAATAGGAAAACAAAGGTAATGATCACCAACTGAAGTTGAATCATGATAGGCCATTTCACAGATGTGTACTTAGTTGCCAAGCCTTTGATTCAGAGTGAGGCTGAAGGTGACCTTGTTGTGATAGAGACCTGTATCTACTTAACATGATAACAAAGTGATTTACATTTGAAAGGCAGCAAGGTTTGTATCATAACAAGGTCAACCCTAGCCTCACTCCCATTCAAAGGCTTGGCAACCAAGCAAACGACTGTAAAATGGACTATTGTATTGAGGGGTGGTTACTGAATAGTGTCTTGTGTTGTGTTTGTAATCATCATCATGAAATGTCCCTCACCTCCATGAAGATGTGATGAGTTTGACTGAGAATTTTATGCGTGTCAGCAGTAGGTGCAACCAGTAAACGTAGACTTCCAATCCAAACGTTACTAAAGGTGAGATTAACAGAACGATATCTATATTATGATCTTCCACAGTCATAATAATCTAAATTAGAATTCCACAGTTACATGAATGCTCAACAATCTCTTACATAGTGACCCCATAACCTTGGTACCTCTGTACCATGTGCAAACTACCCTTATTTTTATAATGTAAAAGTGCTACATGCACAAACAAAACACGAGCAATAGGACTTTTGTGTCTTTAAACTTGACATGGACTTCTTGTTTGATCATGGGACATCCACACATACTGATACAAAATGTGCAAGAGGTACACACAAGAAAAGTTTGAGATAAGTGTCATTCAAATTGTCTTTCTGTGCCCCTCCTGAGGGAGTGTCTGTGGGTGGGGGTCCTTGAGTGCACTAACCCCCCCCTTAATATAACAAAGAAATTAATTAAGACTTGTAAAAATTGCTTAACAACCTACTGCACCCCAAAATTTTAACAGGATATTTACACCTCAAACCTTTGACTCCCAAAGTGACCAAGACAGAATTTCTCCTTACAATATCCTTACAATATCAAGCAAAAAAGTGATGAGAATAAAGAAAAACATGAACAGGGGATTATCAGTCGATCCGATACCAAGTTCTCCAAACTAAACACATCAGAATTGTACAGCAAACAGTAAGAAGAATTACTAGGGAGATCCTGGTAGTGAAAGGGTTCAGACCTGGAGAGGCCTGTTTGGGAATCAAATAACACACAATAATGTCAAAATAGGTTCAAACCTGCTAAGTGCCCAGAAATGAGGATCTTGAATGCTAAACACATCATCCATTTGATTCACCTTTACAACAAGAAAATAAACTTTAAAGATCAACTGTGTTTTAAAAGTTCAATTTAAAGGCAAATTTATATGTTGCAGAGAAGGAATTTTTAAAACTTTTTCTTGTCACTCACCCTTTGGTAAGCAATATGGACATTCTTTTCCAAACCGACTGGAATTCTCTGCATTAATATTCCAACAGAATCTTTCAATAGTGGGATTACGCTACAGACACAAAAGAACACTGGTCAAGTTCAAAATACATGTAATTTGTAATTCAGAGGAACTTACATCAGAAGTGGTTTACTTAAGAAGATTCTCCTATACATTACTTTTTTTGAATTAAAATATAATATTTACCTGAAGAAAATAAGAACTGAAATAAACATGGAACATATGGGATCAGCCAACATCCATCCTATCAAAAAAATAAGGAAAACTTCCTGATTCATGACACATTCATAAAAAATTGTTATCTCTTGTACGGGGATTACAAAGTTTGGCATATTTTCCAACTCTAAGGCAATGAGCACTTTTGCACACACATTTTGTACTTTCAACCATGCTATTTCTTAAACATATCAGGTAGGAGGTGTTATCTTGATCTACCTCCAAATTCTCATAAATAATTAAAAAAGAAATGGGCAGCTAGAGGGTGAGTTAACAATCAGATCTGGGTAGTTAAAGATTTGAGGGAGGATTAGTCAGTCCGACTGCCAAAGTTTTCGCAAACTTTTTGCAACGTAAGCATTTTTTATAAATGATCAGGATACAGTTCACTGTTGGAAATTTTCAAAACTTACCAAACTGGTATATAAGTCCAGCTGATACTATTACACCTACACTGCCTAATGTGTCTGCTAATACATGAAGGAAAACTCCTGTATAAAAAAAAACAACAACAAAACACAATTGATGAAAAAGTATAAAGGGGACAACTTTCAAAAGAAACTATGATGCAGTGTTGGTGGAAGGTATTACAAGATAATTTGGTTTTATCAACAGAGTAAATGTAAATTGGCCAGCCTAAAGAGTTTCAACTCTCTCTTGTACTTGTGATAAAGAGCAACACAAACTGTTGTTTTCAACATTTCATACCTAGTTTTTCAAGTTCTGGGGTAGAATATTAGGGTGAACTTAACTATTTTCATTGAGTTGTTTCTTGCATTTTTCATTATTTATCATGTTTGAGCATTTTCTTCCTCTTACCTTCCATTATTTTACTTTGGATAACTTCCACTTTTTCTTCCTTGTCTGAACAACCTGGATGTATTCAAAGGTTGAGGACAAGAGAAGTTCATTAACACTAATCATTTCTTTATAATAAGTAACTCTTACTAACTGAGTTTGAGGTCTGTACTGTATGTAAGTTATGTACATACTTGCAGTGCACTCATGGGAAAGGAGGAAAGACTCAAATGAAACAAGACACATCTCGAGAGAAACAAGACATGTCTTGAAAGAAAGGAGACATGTCTCCATGGTAATGAGACTCATCTCTTGAGAAAGTGATAACTTACTCTTGAACGGTACTGTACCAAGTTTTTTTTTTACTAGCCCAGGCACCCTCATTTCAAGTGGAAAAAAACACAAGGTTCCATATAACTTCAGTGAGGACTGAGAAAATGAGGCTAGTATATAATAATATTTGTTATATCTCTGGGTTCAAACAGAGGGAAAGATGTTAATTCAAAAAAACTTTTGAATTTAGCAGCCTGTTCAGTGAAATATGGGCTGCTAAATAGATCAATCATAGTATTAGTACTAAATGAGAGATACAAATATAATAATTATTATAGTATAAAAAAGTTTATAATGTAACTGTTTGTTCTTTATAATTTCAAACAGTTTTTGTAGCTATAATGTGTTTTAGAGCCTTTGGTACCTGAATCATGTGAATGGTTATGTCCACCGTTCATGTGGGAGTGTCCATGTGAATGACCACGGGTATGTCCATGATCGTGACTGTGCCCGTGTCCATGGCCACCACCGTGTGAATGTCCATGGCCACCGCCATGTGAATGTCCATGTCCTAAGAAAGTGAAAAAAAACCATATGTATGTAGAGAAACTAAGATGTTTTTCGTCTTGTCACAAATATGGGACAAAGAAAAAAATTCTGAGTCTCCATAAGGAATCAAATCTTAGGCCTTCAGATTTTGCATTTTGATGCTCTACCACTGAGTCTCAGAGTCTCTATAGTGAGCAGGGTCCATTAAGAAGTTTATATGTGACATGTATTCTGTATGTATTTAACAATTACTCACCAAAGGCAAGGTGAATATCGTCTAATAATCTTTCAGACGAAATCGAGGGGATTATTCGACAATATTCACCAAACCAGAGGCGAACAATTGTTTTAGTAATTTATTTTAACATTATTTTAATTTCATTTTAACATTTTATTTAAACCGCTTATATAGTGTCATATAAGAAACTGCTCGACCAATCAGATTGCTGGAAACTCTTTGCTCAGCTCTGAAATTATACTAAAGATCATTATTACCTGCTGCACCTCCATGATGAAAGACAAAAATTCCAACAAGATTGACAAAAAATCCTAGAACTGACACAACAAACAGCCGCTCATGTTTAACCTCTGGAGGGTGAAGAGCTCTCTAAGGGTAAGAAAAATTATAAAACATTAAAAATTATCAAACCAATGCATTTTTATATTAAGTGGTTTGTAGCTGCATATTAGTCTAAACTTATCCTTCTCAGATAGTAAAGTCATGTTAAGTGTTTAAAAGGAGATTTAAGGGCTGTTGAAATACATCATTATCATTACATCATTATTAAGTTAATCCTTTATCCCTTAACAGTGACTTACACCTCATTTTTCCTTCCTATACAAGGCTGTGCTCTAAGAAAAATAAAAGGGAGCCCAGTGCTCTGAAACTTTGAATCCAGGGTGCCCAGCATATGCTTTTTATGTAAAAACCTAAGATTCCTGAGTCACCTAAGAGCAAAAGTAAGGCACCAGGGGCCACCAGGTGCTGCTAGGCTACAGTCCTGCTATATCACACTTGAATCAAACTTGAAGGTCAACAGAAGATATTAAACAATCACCAAGAAAAGCAGCTCTTGAGTGTTACCCAAAAGAATTAATTCTCCTTATCAGTACTATAGGAAAAGTCTAAGGAACAGTGTAGATAATATACACATTGATTTGAGGGTAGAAAGGGTTCAAAGTACTTACCTCTACAGCTTCAGATAAAATGAAGAAAGCAATAAACACCAGAAATAATCCATTCACAAAACCAGCCAGAACCTCAGCTCGTCCATACCTGAATCGCACAAGAATTAAAATAACAATTCTATCACTTTTGAAAAGGGAAAAGTGAAGTGTGTGGCACAGCTTGCGATTTTCTCCTTTAATGACTGATGACAACTATTTACTGTTCACCCCTGCCCCACCCTACCTCCCCCCCTTGCCCTGACCCTTCCCCTTCACCCCTCATTCTCTTAATTGACTGTTAACCAAGTACTTTCCCTACATTGTATAATACCAAGACTACATATGTTCAGCTACATCCTGTGCAACAAAATACTCTATCAAGAACACCTCTGAAGGGGTATAGAAAAAAATACAGCAACATGCATCGTCCTCAAGGCAACTCACAAAATATACAGTAACAGTAGTAAGAGGGGGGGGAGAGAGAGAGAGAGAGAGAGGCAGTTGGCAATGCAATTTCTGATCCTCTGAATGGCTTCATCAGTACTACTACCCGCTTAACTTATCAAAAAAAAGTATATGAATCTTACTGTAAGAAGAAAGCAATAATTCCAAATTAATACAATTGTGTTAATCAGAGCTTGGATGAAACCAAACAAAGATGAAAAAGAATAAAGATAGAATTAAGTGTATTTTTTACTGTAATTCATTTAGTCAGTAACCTTAGTAACAGAAAATATAATTTATGGTCTACAAAAACTCTTTGCTACTAAGCAACACCTCTGATTTTCAGATGTATGTCAAAAGTACTGTGCAATGTAAGATTGCACTGCAAGCACTGTTAGTAATGTATCATACCCTATGAGCAGTTAAAGTTGATTTCATTTGAGTAAACCATAATTGAAATATAGAATCTTCCCCCTTATGCTTCTCAATCCTCTTTGGTCCTTTCTCTCCTTTTTTACCCAATGTCATGAGTTTCTGGCCCAGTCATAAATAGATTACCACACTGTACATTTTGCCTCACATTTAATTACTAGAAAAAAATATTCACCCACAAGACGACTGCTTCGGTATAAATATTTGTCAAATAATAAAGTAAAACAAACTGGAATTTTATATTGTTTAACCATTATAAATAACAATTATAGGATTTGAATTAAAAGTACTTTGACAAATTAAAGCTACTTACCCATAGGAAAATCTTTCGTTTTTTCCCCACTTCGCGATCACCGATGCTATGAGCCCTGCCAAGAGCGCAGTGCAATCGAAGAACATGTGAAATGAATCTGAGATCAGACCAAGACTAAAAGAAAGACAAATATTCATTGTAAACTTCAATGAACATATATAGATTTCTAAATAAAATTCTACTCTACACCAGACAGATACTCAGGAGATCGCTCACCTATTCGTCCATATGCCATAGGTCAACTCCACAAACGCAAATGATAAGTTAAGAAGAAGGAAGAAGAATAGATTTCTCGAGCCCTCGCTTGAGAGTATGGCCCTAAATAAATACATCACATAAAAAAGTTAACACGATGAACACATGGTCATCGATTTCAGTGCAATCGACGACAACAAAAGCCCTTTAAGATCTTCGTACTTTATCCATTCGAACAAACGCGATTTAAGCTTCACTCCGGGTTTGAATTCATCACTTTTGAAGCTGTCTTTACTGGTTAATGGAAGCATGCCGATATTAAAATTCGTACTGTGGATTGCATCTAATCACAACACTGCCGGCTTCAAAGATTACGTGGCATTCACATAAGCTCACTTCCTGTCATCTCCCGGTTACTGATGGGATACATGTTTCACCATGTTGCGTTACCATCGTGCGTTACAAATGTAGTTTTACCTTGGTTTTGGTTCTTTGCTCGGGTAAGTGTCTGACCAATTTTTCACCCACGTTTTGTTTCTTTTTGTTTTTCAAAAGTACCTATAGTTTTCTAGGACACTTTGATCATCAACTAAGACAGAGGTTTATAATTTCATTGATTCCTTATGAATCAGTGTACAGAAAATTAAATTTGAACGTGAGCCAAAATAGAACGTAATGACGTGTATCGCAGTTCCAATCTTTTCATACGCCCCAACTAGAAAGGTCAATCGTTTTCATTTTATGTACATCCTACGGAACAGAAGATAAACGCAATTTATGCCACGTGACTCACTACCTGTTAGTGTTTTCCTGGCGGCTGAAAAGGATTCGATCGAACTCTTCTTAACACTCGTGCTAATTGAAAACTGTGCATTTCAAAGAGAGCCTTTAGAGGGAATGTTGTTTGGTTTGTTTACTATTTATTGTGATTGACGAGTATTAATGAAATAAATTTCACTAGCCTTCGTACATTTTAATCAACCATTTTTAACCAAATGGCCAAGTGAAGCATTGTGGGTATTTTCGAATTACAGTGGGTACGAGAAGTGAATATTACGGTCTTTTCGTCCAGAAGTCTTTTCGTCCAAGTCTTTTCGTACAAAAGTATTTTCACCTAAGTCTGTTCGTTTACTTGTTAAGTCTTTTATCGAAGCAAATAAATAACTTTTAGAAGGCTATATAAAGAACTTGTTGTGAGCCGCCGATATTTAGGTATGTCGGACTCGTAGTGATGTTAGACTTCGTTGCCTTTTACGCTCAATTGACGCTTAACAACAAGCCTAATATTCCCATTTCTTTCGCGTGAAATAAGTAAACTACAAGCAAGTCTTTATTTTTGCTACTATTTAATAAAATATATTACGTTACAACTTCATTCATTCTGTGTATTAAATTCATGACGTTGAATTCGTAAAACGAAGATTGGTGAACCAAAAAGGGCTACGGCTCGCACTGATAAGTTCTCTATATAGCCTTATCTATGATATAATATAATATAATAGTTATTTATTTGCTTCGAGAAAAGACTTAACAAGTAAACGAACAGACTTAGGTGAAAATACTTTAGGACGAAAAGACTCTTGGACGAAAAGAGCGGACACCCGAGAAGCTTGCATGAATATTTTTGTACTTTGTCGACTATCTTCTATGTGAGATTACCATGTAAGAGAAATCAAGTTAATTCTAACTCAAATTTTCCAGAATCACTTTATTTATAGCTGCTCTTAGCCCAAATTGCTCATCTTCAGTAGAGACAGTCATGTAACCAACCAAATATTTGTTGAAATCAATAAAACAAAACGAAGGGCTAGGACAAAACACTGACCCCCCTCACTGACCCCCTCTTAAATTTACTGGAAATCATGAATTGAAGCTAATGATAACAACCTAACAGTACAAAATTACGATATAATTATAATACACTCACCTCTTAAATTCCAAAATGGCGGAAGGTGGTCGATCTGCTTAATACCACGAGTCTGCAATAGTGCAAACTCGTTTTACCACAATTGTTAGTTCTCCTATGCTCATAAACGAGTGGTGAATGGGAACTGTGTTCCACCAAAAAGAAGATTAAACAAAAAGAAATGAAACCTCTATCTGAAAACCGGAAAGGTCCAAAAGTTCCAAAGGAAAGGTCCAAAAGTTGTCAGCTCCAGGTACCGCCATCCATTCACCACTCACATGTGTTGACAGGTTTGTCTGGTACATAGTACTGGTTGTTTATCAATTTTGGAATTTAAGAGGTGAGTGCATTATTATATCTTAATTTTGTATCGTTAGGTTGTTATCATTAGCTTTAATTCATGATTTCCAGTGAATTTAAGAGGGTCAGTAAGGGGGGGTCAGTTGACCCGGGGTCAGTGTTTTGTCCTAGCCCCAAAACGAAGACGCTGGTCAACACCATTGCTTAGACTAAATCCTTAAATAACTAACCCCCAAGGTTGACTAACATCTAAATTCTCATTACAGTATCACCCCTGAATCACACATTAAGGTTGTGAGAATAAAGAAAATGAGCAGCAATTACAATAGCTCGTGATGTTGATACAAATTCTCCTTGCCAACACCTTACAACATGTATAGAGAACAGTATGAAGAATATCCATACTGATATTAGGGTGTCAAGGGTTAAGTCAATAAATTTCTTCTATTGTAGCCAGTGAAGACTTCAATGGCCATGGCACTTTTCCTACGAAGGTCGACATCATGTAGTCGTTTGGGAGAGATATTTCTATGTCCTAGACTTTCCAGGTAAAGTTTATTTTTTAAATCAAATAGTTATAACTTTGTTGCCTTCCTCCTGTTTGTGATTGCTACACTGCTTGCACATGCAGGACATTTTTTATTCTCACAGAGCCCCTCCACACCGAGAAGTATGAAAATAGAGAGTTTAAGACTGCATGTGGCTACTGATATAGCACAATTTTTATCACATAGAAAAGAGCAAGAGATTGTGTGCTGATGTTAGAAAGTAGTGTACTAGAAGATTTTTCTCAAATACAGAACAGAAAAATCTGCTGCATCCCACTTGTTTATAAGTACCCTGTTCCACAAGAGAAAGATGATTCAAGAATATAGTGACTAATTAACATTCAACAAATAATAAATTAAATGGCTGTTGGCAAAGTGTGAAGGAAACATGAATAAATAAATAATAAATAATAATAAATAATAATAAATAATAAATAATAATAAATTAAATGGCTGTTGGCAAAGTGTGAAGGAAACGTGAATAAATGCCTGGTTGGGTCATTGTATTGTGTGTTCTCAGGTAAAAAACACTCAGTTTTGAAATACCTCTCTTTATCCAGGAGTACAAATGGATTATGGAAAATTGTCAGGGAAGCCTGGTGAAATGCCGTAGGGGGGGAGGGGAGGAGTAATGGACTGACATCTCATTCAGGAGGGAGTAATAATATTCCTAGTGGCTTCATGTTAAGGAAACCAGGATAAGCTTTGGCTGAATGGGTCACTAGACTCTTTCCTGAATTTTTTAAAGGAAACATACCCTGACTTACAATATTTTTATCTCTTATATTCAGGGGTTGGTTGAAAAAAAATGTAACACAACCCAAGAGAAAGACTAGTAGTTCACACACAGGAAACCTGACAAGATCTTCATACTATTCCACCATTGGTGCCTTAGTGGGGACTTTGACTGGAGTTGGACTTATTCTCAATAAACAGAAGGTGTATAGACTATAATGATTGGTTCAATAATAGTCAATAACATGATTATTATCATAAAAATAATTGTTATACTAGTAAATTAAATGTTAATTATTAAAGCACTGGGAGATAAGTGAAGGATTTTCATTAGAAGCTTGCTTGTAGTGGCAACAGACTAGCTTTTGGACCATTTTGGACTGGTTGCTGTGTGGATTGTGATAAAAATAAATATTTTTTAATTGATTGTATCATTGGTGTCTGGCTTAAAAAAAATTCTCAAATATACTTGAGATGCTGGAAGGCACATCTCAGAGAGTTCAAATTTCTTAATTTTCCAGGTGGGCATGTCCCAAGATCTTCCTAGAAAGGGTTGCTTTGCAACATGCCATACCTGTTACTCAAGCATAATTCAATTCAATTCAGCTAAATACTCAGTTTCGATCAAACAATTTCTACATTTTCTAATTACAACTTTGCAGTAGCCTTGTGGTCAGCACTGGGCATAAGACAAAGAGATGGGGTTGTCATACTTCACAGAGATGTTTTATTTTATGACTTGGTAATTCTTACATTTCTCTTTATGTGTGTTTTAACAGATTTCTCAAGCTAAAGAAGCAACAAAGTCCAGAGATAAATCATCACAAGAAAAAGATCCTGTTTATTCTGTGGAAGAGGTATCCCAACACAATAACCATGAAAAAGGAATCTGGGTGACCTATAAAGGGAATGTGTATGATATTACAGACTTTGTGGCTAACCACCCTGGTGGACCTCAAAAGATCATCTTAGCAGCCGGTGGAGCTCTAGAACCATTCTGGGCACTTTATGCTGTGCACGATAATGAACATGTGTTGGAGCTTTTGGCGGAATATCGTATTGGTTCTCTGTCCAAAGATCAAAGCTCTATTGAAGCTTCAGATATCAAAGTATGTAGACAGTATGTGATAGGATCTATTGATCATGCAGTGCTTTCAATAAGATTTGAAATAGGTGGCTACCTTGGTACAACACCTGCTGGAGAGCAACTTGATTGCGACTTAGCATGATGACTGCAACTTGAGCTCGGTGAAATATACCTGGTGACTCTCAACAGAATACCCGCCAGAGCTCCGGTGGCTCCTAGGTCTTATTGAAAGCACTGTCATGATGTGAACTTGAATTTAAGTTTTTCTCGTTGCCCTGTTCCCACCAATCACGTAGCTCCGTTTTCTGCCTTCAAAAGCACACACAACCCACGGTTCCTCTATTCGCTGCGACGAAGGGCTAACACTCGAAATGTCAGCTTTTGTAATCGTTACAGTGGCCAATTTACCATTTCAACTTTGTTGATATATCCAAATTATATTGAATTTAAGTCAGCCCATGTCAAAGAAGCTTCATACTTTTTCCCAGTGTATTGAGTAATATGGTATTGAGATTAGGCCATCTTCACTCCTGCTGGAGATCATAAGAGGTTGCCCATGGATCTCCACCAGACCCTGTTTTTGGCTGAATATTGTATTAGCCCTTTAATTCCCAGAAGTGATTAACAAGTAACTTCTCCCTTTATGTTATTAATACTTTATCCAGCCAACAGGTAGTGAGAATACTCTAACTTATCAGGTAGAAGTTTTTACCTTGATTGAACAACAAATTCTTGTAAAAAATTTGCAAGGAGATGAGTAGTAACCAGAGGGGATATTTAGCAATCAGATTGTGGGAGTTAGGGTGTAAAATCCAAAATTCAGAGTTAAAGGGAGCACTTAACCAAGTGGGTGAAAGAAGATTTTACATTTTTTTTTTTTCACTTCCCAACTTCCTGTAATGGGTCAGTCTTGACGGTTGCTAATATGAAAAGTAAAAAACAAGGAATTTCACTTTGTTAAAGAAGTGTACTCCATAGCTTATTCTCCAGACACTTGTGCTTTGTTCTGTGGTTCAAAGCTGAATTTTTCAATTATTGCAACTGGCCTATTTATATGTAGATGTATATTACTGATAGCTACAACACTGGGTATTTTAGGATCCATATGTAAATGATCCACCCCGCCATCCAGCCTTAAAGGTCAACACTAAAAAACCTTTCAATGCCGAGCCACCCATGCAGCTCTTGTCAGACAGTCTTATTACTCCAAACGAGATATTTTTCATTCGCAATCATCTTCCGGTTCCAGACATTGATGAAAGCAAGTATGAGCTAGAGATTACTGGTGAAGGAATCAAGCCTGTGACACTCTCTCTTGAGGTAATTTACAGATTAAGTCAGCAATCAGTTTCCACAACATGACTTAAAGCATCAAACTAACAAGAAAATGAAGGAGTGCCTTAAATACTTTAGATGCAGTGTCAATTTCTCCCGGTGTTTGACATGGCAAAATAGAATAATTTGTTAACGGGATCCAATGTTCTGTGGGAAGTCACCAAGGGAATTTTTCCATGCGTATCGACTTGTCTCCTTTGCAGCAGTTGTTTGGGATGTCACATGACACTCATCTCAAGAGTATTGTGTAACGTCTCATAGGACAGCTGTGAAGGAAACTTACATGACCAGGACCCTTCACTTGATGAGGACTTGTTGTCAGGTTTTTTAAACTTCTCATTAGAGCCAGGCCCTCACCTTGTGGACTTAAGTGGGAAACTGGCAACAGAAAATAGATGGGGTCTGGAAAGGAGTGAGTCCCCCACAGTCTATCCTTAGCTTGTACCACTTTTTTCTTGGGTGGAAAGACTGAGTATGTGGAAAAGGCTTAGAAACCATCTGTTACTCTCACTGACAACTGCTCTTTCCATGCTGTACAATCAACTGCCCTGGTGACAAAGAAACAAGTAGAGGGGGATGTAGAGGTCTGACCCTCCCCTGTTATTGTCAACATTGCAATGCCAAGAAAATGCTTTTGTAGGAATTTTACCCCCCCTCCCTGAGACCTCCCTCCCCTCCCCTCCCCCACATCCTCTCTTTACATGGAAATCCCATGTTACAATGTTTTCACCCTTGGATTGAAAAGATCTCTTCTCAGCCCTTTACACGCTAACATCAGTATCCATATCCTCCATTCTCGTCTCTAAACATTTCTTGTGGCACTGATAAGGAGAAGTTGTTTTACGATCAAAGCTTCTTAGGTTGGCGATCATTTCCTATATTCTCATGATCTCAGTGAATGATTCAGCTGTATGGCTGTAAGGAGAAATTAGATGCTGGTCACTCCTAGGGTTTAAAGGCGTTCAAGTAATTCTGCAGGCTCGTTTTTTTCCAATCTACCAAAACAGGACAGAGCTGAATAATGAAATGCTACGTCAGCGCGTTGCGGTCAACAACGCGGGCTCAAGTGTCCTAGGTCGACGAACTCTGTTTTCGTCGAAGGCATTTTCCTATTTCCAGAGGTTTTAAGGGGAGAATTAATTTTTGAAAATTTTCAGGGTGTGTACCAAGTTTTTGGAGGTTGTTCTGTAAAAGAAAAGCGGCAAGGAAAACGACCCCTCGAAGCAAGAGAATAGGAAATCATTCATGCGAACGACTCAAAATCCGTGTTACCGGGGCAAAATCTTGCGCATGCGTGTACGTTATTCAGCTCTGTCTCTAAACAGTGTTTTTTTTTAGGACCTGAAGACCAAGTTTCCAAAGCGAAGCGTAACTGCAACAATGCAGTGCGCGGGGAACAGACGAAGCGAAATGAATCGGATTAAACTTGTGAAAGGTCTTAAGTGGGGAGCAGCAGCTATAAGCACGGCTGAGTGGAAAGGAGTTTTCTTGAAAGATGTACTGAGGTAATGTGTCATGAACCGTTCTTTTGAGAATTATTCTTGCGGGGGAGGACGCGAATCTCTGACTTTGCACAGATAGGAGACGCGGAACCCAGGGGGGAGGGGTACTCGGGTCAATAATCCCTGGGTATGTGTCGCTGGCCTCTCAGAACCCCTAACCCCATTACAGTCTACTCTGTGGCCAATTATATAACCCATCTTGGTAAATTTTAGGCAAATTTAACAACTTTTTAACTGCAAATCTTGTTAGTTTTAAATCCTTACTTACCGGAATTTTCTAACCCTAAAATCCCGCAAAATGTACCCCATTTTGGTAACTCTATTAAATATACAGCCCCAATAAAAAAGCTTCCACTTGACAAGTCTAAGTGTTCTCGTTACCTGTTTGCTGCAGAATGTATGCATATTACTGGGAGATGTTGCATGTTAATCACTTCTGAGAGCCAATCACTTAAGTTACTTTTTGATCAGCGACAAAAAATGACATTTCTTGTTAGTACTGGTTTTTTTTTTTTTTAGAATTGTTTCTCGTGAATTTTAATTTCATCTGATTTTGAATAAAAATTTAGCTTCATCCTTTAAAACAAGCGTAACCTTAGAAGTTTGACGTACATATGAACCCTTAAACTCCCAAGATTTGATTGTTAATTCTCCCCTCTACCTGATACATATTTCCTTGTAAATTAGTTACAAGAATTTGGTGTCACATAAAGACATCAACTTCTACCTGATAAGTTAGAGTATTTTCATTACCTGTTTGCTGGATAATGTAGGGCTATTATATGGAGAAGTTACATGTCCATCACTTGGAGTGTCACTCGAAGATTCGGCACGATCTCGTAAAGAACTTACACGTGACTAGCTAGCGAAAGTGAAGAGTTCTTCTTGTATATACCAAAACAGGGGATAGCGTTGAAAGTGCGCTACTCAAACTCCGAATTTCCTTTGCTTTTCACCTTGGAGAAACTCCACTTCGGTGAATAGTTGTTGATTGTTCTTTGCATTGTAATTTTTCCTTCTTTGTGGTCGCTATTTTAGGTATGCAGGAGTCGATGAAGTGTCTGTGCAGCAAAATGGGGTGCAACACATTCAATTTGAGGGAGCTGATCATGACATAACTGGTTCTACTTATGGAGCCTCTATACCCGTGGAAAGTGCTCTTTCTTCA